TCCTTTGTTTAGCATAAGAGGAAATGGACAAATGTTTCGAGTTGTTGAATGAACAGTCAGAGTATATCAAGTTCACCCGAGAGAAACCGAAAGAAAACTGGCTTCCATTCCTGAACGTCCAAATTAACCTGTCAGAAAATGCCTACATTACGAAGTGGTACCGAAATCTAGGTAGTAAAAACATCTTGGTTCATTACCTCTCCTCTCACCCCTCTCACACGAAAACAGCGCTTGTAAGAAACATGTTTCGAACAGCAACGAACGTGTGCACGGGAAGAGAGCAGAGAGAGGAGTCCCGGAACTTCGCACTGCTAATATTCATTTCTGGTTACGAAACTGTAGCTCGGGATAGGTGTAGGGGCAATCCTAGGCCTCCAAACGACAACTTTAGCGATAGAAAGGACTCGTTGATCCTACTCTTCATCTCAAATGATGTAAGTGCAGCTATAAAACGCTGCTTAAGAAGGGCGGGTCTAGAGAATTCGGTAAACGTAGTTGAAATGCCAGTAAGTAATCTTAGGCGCCAGCTAGTTCATAACCGACTGCATGACCGTCTGTGTGCAGCGCAAAATTGCATAATTTGCCCTAATGGTAGAGAAGGTGACTGCATGAGCTCGAGTGCAGTTTATCTGATCTCCTGTAAGGCGTGCGGAGACGAATACATTGGCGAAACGGGCAGACCTCTCTGTGTCCGCATAAAAGAACACCTAGCCGGCAAACATAAACCAAATACCCCACTATGCACGCATAGGACGTAGAGACATAACGGGGAGGACTTCGAAGTACCTTACGATCCTCGCACAGAAATCGAGAACACAAGCGTGTAAAACTCTCGAGGCATTTTGGATTAATTCCAGAAATCCGAAAATGAACCGCAGGGAAGAATGCTTCATTATCGCGCGTGATATTGGGCAGTATATAAGCCTGTTATTCTGATGGGAGGGACACATTACGTTTTCATATGAATTCTATACGGTTGGTCTTCATGCGACATACTCAGCGGATGCCTCATAGAAAGCGGTGAGTGTGCAAAGCTGTGTTCAATGTGATTGAAATCTTGGTTTAGCGTTTTCTTTGTTTGGTTATGGAGTTGTTTGGACGAATAGATTGCTGTAAACTTGACCATTCCAGGCTCTGAGGAAGGCGAAATCCACCGAAACATCAGCTCATTCGTGAATAAAGAATAAAAATAACGCCTCGCGTTTGCTCAACAAGAATACGAAAAAAGGGAAAGCGCCGAAACGTCAACTATTAACGTGTGCTAACAAATGCTATAATGCAAGCCTAGTGTTTGCTCCTTGAAAAAAGCAGAGGACGATCAATAAATTATTTATATTTTTAAAGGGAGGATTAAGAGAACAACAAAGAGAAATCTGCACGTGTTCCGAAACACACATAGATCAAGGAGATTGACTGCGACGCACCGCTGCATAGGGTTGGCGTATACGTCCTTTATGTGAGATGCTACTTTGTGCATAAGTGTGTGCCTATATGTTTGTGATTGAAGAAAACGCGTGAGATTCTCTGTACAATGTGGCATTTCTAACACGTTGACACCACAAGCACTCAGAGAATCGCTGGAAACAGTCCATAGGGTCACTGATACAAAAGGCGACCAAGAGCTCCGTCACTATGGGCTCAGCTACGATATGTCCTTACCTACGGGCAAAATAGTCCGGTGTTTGTTGCCGCCACTAAATCCACGTGCATAAGTACTGCCTAATCTTTTATTTGGGTGCCATTCATATGGAATGTATCACCGGAGTGAGACTCGACCTCCAGCAGAAACGAAGAACTCTGCAGCACACACATTCCTATTAAGTTTATAGATTCCGTGGAAATTTCTAGTGAAATTCGAGAAGTGGCCTTATTCCGTAAAACATTTTTCGTCAATTGTAACATGTTGTTGAAATGAACATTGGTCGACACCTTGAAATGTTTGTCTCTTCGCATAAACTGACACCCATGAAGATGCCGTGCTACTAAGGCACCAAAATCATTGATTGTTCTGACTTTTACAAACGATATGATGAGCCTTCTACCAGACGGTCACCACGCATGCGACTGATTTAACATGAACAGAAGAAATTCAATCCTTTAATTCTGAAGACGCGCTCTCTTAGCCATGGTTTCCTAATCATTTCTTTGAATAGCGAGTTGCTGAAATGCTTGAAGAGCTAGTATTCGATAAGCGAGAGGCACGACAAATATGATGATTGGAGCAGAGTTTCGTAGCGCAGTCCATTCAACCTTTGAAGCATCAGTGGCGCCTCATTTTGCCAATTCGTACGGTATTCATTCATCCAGTTTTTTGACTTCCAGGTCTTCTCAGATGCTCAAGAAAAGTGAAGGTGCTTATTCCGAATTCTTCTGCATGTTTTCGAATACTACTATACTGTACACTACTCGAATACTGTACATCTACGTGCTTCAATCAAGGCCTTCAATTCATTATCGTCACTTGCGGAAGGATGACAGCCACTGTTATCATCTTCAACTTCCTCCACCACATATGACGAATTTCTTGAAATGAACTCGCAGTATGCGCTCGTTAACTCTTCCTTGGTCCCATACGTTATCAAAGTTTCGAGGTGTTTGCATTGCATGCATGACGACTGAGTTCGGGTTCATAAAGGTAGATTTGTCAAAATCGCTATTTTCACTTCCGAAATTCTACGCTTTAAAGTTTGTCAGACATGAATTTGAAAAGAAATACACATATAAGAAAAATAGATATACAAATTGTGCATTCATTTACGATCAACCTAATAATTCGAACCACAGAGTGATAGGCCAAGTGAGATTTCGACCAACACGATATACTGGTTTTCACTGCGTATCGTTCATGTTCGCTGATAAGGCGTTTGCCCTTTGACCTAAAAAATTTTGAATTCTTTGTTCAATTACTCAATTTATAACATATTTAAATTTTGAATTAGAAAATGAGGGTTTGTGAAAGCAGAGGCTACCCCTAGAAAGGTAGAACGAAGTCTATTCTAAAAGCTTGGAAAGTTTCCAGCATAGACATCTGAGAATTATGGGAAGTTGTGGAGGAAGCAGCATCGTCTATTATGTATGTGTCAAGCCTATAATGATGAATTTTGGCCAGTTATGCCAGCGCATTCATTACCAATCACCTTGACGGATCGTGATTATTTCATGGAATGCTACCTGGTACTTGGTACTTAGATGGCTTGTTTTCACTGGTTGTGTGTACACAAGCAAAATTTCCATTCTCAGGGACTTTCCTGGTTTAGCCATTGTGGTTTCATGGAGTCTCGAGGTTAGCCTAGCTGAAGCCTTCTTCAGGTGGTCACCAACCCAGCCGGTCGCTGTCCTTGTGAATCAGAAAGAGATTTCCCACCATGTGACTAGTCTAATACCAAGACGGTCGTCATTACTGGTATGGATTTACTCTTAGCTGAGCTTCCTGATGTACAGGACTTCTTCTCAGCTTGGGAGGCTCTGCTGGAGACATGAAGTTCCAGCTCTACATCCCAGCCCGACACCCAGGAACACCTCCAAGCCACGATGAGGGTGTAGACCGTTGGGAGGGTTTCGTGGATTGGTCACATGCAAAACCTACCAAAATATAATGCATACTTGTTGTGAAAAAAACCGAGTACTGACAGTGGCATAATTCAGTTTGAGCTGGATGTGTTGACATGAACTTGCAATGAGTGTGGCGGAAAATTTAGTGTTAAATAGATTTTGCATGCATCCCATACTTTTACCAGCTTGTTAGATGACTCATATGAAAGCTGCATAAAATCACTTCTCCAACAGGAAAGCTCGGCGCCTAGTATTATTACAACAAAGGAGTTAACTGAGATAATAAGGAATTTGAGATTTGATTAAACTGAAACGTATCCTGCTCGTTTTGTGATCAGTGCTAGCGACAGATCTTCCTAGGACGAACTACATATTATTGGAAGATGAAGACTTACGAAGCTGTCCAGAAAAGAGCTTTTGTTATCGAAATGTATCCCATGAGCAAGTCTCGGCATTAGCTCTATTTAACAAAAATGGTATTCTTTCCAGCCCAAAATGTAATTTTTAAAAAACTTTGCAAAAGTAATTTGAAAGTATCAGTTCATCATTTCTTGTTTTAGAATCCTAAGTCAAACCCCAACATCCACTAGATGGAAACCACTGATATTCCTACTTTTGAAATTAGAAACGATCCATACAAAGTGCACGAAAACGAGCAATAATCATGGAGCAATATGCAATTAAATAGAAAATAGCCATATCAGGGAGGGGTTTCGGACACTATTTACCGCAAAACGGAGAGTCCTCACTGGAACTTGCTCATCCTGCTGTTGTACTTACCTATTCAATGCTCTTTTTCTCTCTAACTCTGTAACCGCTGTTTTATATGACATCGCTGCATTTTCTACACGGTGTTCAGTCGTTTAATCGTAAAATCACTCTGCTTTGCTTTCTTGTGGCATTTTAGATCTTCACTTCTTGCAGTAGAGTTGAACTCTTGAGCTCTCTGTTCGTATGAATCACAAGTTCTTCGAGTCACTGCTTTATATTATGAGTTAACCGGTTCACATCACCAATGTTTTAGAGACACGATTTATTTTAATTCCAGATCTGCACCTTTAGCGATCGAATTTTACATTAATCTATTGATCAAATAGAAACTTGTTTAATCAAGTCTGAGGTTTGATGCCGTGAAGGCAGAATCATAAGCACTCCGTGCTAGTACACAAGGCATACACAATTCTTACTGTTCCATTACTATAATTCCACAGAATAACAGTTGTTGTACGTCATATCTTTATTATACTCATCCGTTCATTTCGAAAATATGGGATTTCCTACGTCTTAGGAGCTCAGCTACTGTGGTTTCCGTTTGAGTTATCCTACGTCAGGAATAAGGTTTGACCTCATATCCTCCTCTATGTCTCCAGGTTTTAATATTACCAGTTGGATTTCACAGTTATGTACGCATCACAGCATGCAACACTCTTGATATTTTTGTAAAGTGTCTAATTTGAATCATTAATTAATTCACGCTCGTGTTGTGCATTTGAGATAATTTTTTTGATTTCATCGATTGCGTAACATGCTTCCTTCCATTGGTCGTCCTCCAAAGTACCTTTCCCGATGAATTTTGCTTCCTTTGCCATGGACTCGCACATCTGCAATGCGCACATGCTTACAAGGAAACAAAATCGGAAGAAAATATGGACTGTTTACATTGCTTCTTACCTTGAAAGATTCTTCATCAGCAACATCGAGATAGCTTTTGCACAATTTTGCGAAATAGACATATAATGACAAACGATCAGGTATGTTTTTATCTCTCCAGACCTTTTTTGCAGCTAGCGTGAGTTCATACATAATCTCCTAAATTCAGGAGGCCCTGTCGTTTCAACGCTATGTTGAACATACTGCAAGTTTGTAGATTTGCAGGAACAAAAAGAAGGAAAATAATAAACATTTTAGAAGCACCCTTGCTCTTTATTTCCGAGAAACAATCTCGTATCACGGACTCAAAGGATAATATACAATCTATACGTAGATGACTTTTTTCTTCCCTAAACACAGTGCAAGAAGCGGGTCTAATTCCCGTGACCTCGAAAGAGCCCCCGATACAGTCGCGTTTGCTAAGGTGAGAACGGTGAGGCCGCTAAAATCTCACGGCCATTGCATACTGCCTAAATCTCGAAGGACTATCTTCTTCCTCAATGGAAGACTTGATCGTGAAGGAAAAAGGATAACGTATGACGTCTGGTATTGGCTCAGACGAGAAGATGTCACCCATTCAACACCGTCAATGACACCGGAGAAGAACTGCTTCTCCAAACATGCGATAGTAGACGACTCGGCCACGTCGGGTTTACACCAACAAAGTTCAACGCGAATGTGGCCATGAACAGCGATTTATTTCTAATGTGGATCAGAGAAATGTCTGAAAAGAGAAACATTATGACCCATGGATTAGAGTGGAGCGAGCAGGATGACCGGCTGTCTGAGTTTATCACGACGACCAAGACCAACCTTGCTAATTCACAATTTCAGGAACTCCACTCTCAACGAAGAGTGTAAACGATAAAGGAAGAATCGTTCGGTGCTGATAAATCCCTAGTGGATGCGCAATGAATTCGATTCCATTAAGCACAGTTAGTGGTGATTGGATGTATATCCGGTCATTGCGGTGACCCGACCCGCGGTGGCCCACCATGTATCGAGTTTAGAAACTTATTCACCATGTTCACGTCAGCGATTTGAAAACTGAGAGATTGGAAGTTACCAAGAGACGTCTACCTCTAGGAGCACACGACCTGACACGCCAACGTGGAATCGAACACGGTCCAGTCATTCGTCAACCCAAAACACTACAGAAAGGCGATAAAAGAAGGTCCTAGAGAGAAGAGCAGCATTTATGGTCAAAGTCGAAGTGGCTGGAGAAACCATTCGAAAACTGCTTCAACTGCAGGATTAAAATGATTGCACTCCACCACCCAGATGGAACAGTTTCAGCTCTCAGAATGCTTTGGTGAAAATCATTAACGATTACTATTCGGATCTACTCATTAACCACGTCCTCCTACCGTCAATCGACGTTATATTTTCGTTGAAGGCGAATCGAGCAAAACCTGTTCGGGACTGGATACAAACTGCACACCTGAAGAACTCTGTTCCAGTCATCATAAACACTCCTGCTCGGCTCTTTACACGTTACCTGTCAGAATACGAAGTTTCTATTAAGTGAATGGCCGGTAAGACTACACTATTGTTCAAGAAGGGTGACCTGCCCGGCATCGGCAACTGTCGACCAATCTGCTAGCTGTTCGTCTTCTACAAACTTTTCACTCAAGTCGTTCTAAACAGGAATAGGAGAACACTGAACGAAAGGCACCCATGCCAGCAAGCAGGGTTTTGAAAAGATTTAGTACTATGGACCATATCCACACGATAACAAGACTCATTGAAGTATAGCGAGAGTACAAAAGACCGCTCTGTCTCACTTCCATCGATTTAAAGAAGGCCTTTGACTCAAGTGAAATAGAAGCAGTCATGGAAGCCCTTGATAGTCAGCGACTCCCTACTCAGTACATAAAGAATTTTCGTGAGTTGTACAAAAATTTTACAAGAAATTATCACCATTCTACAACATATTAACATCGACGTCAGAAAAGGAGTTACGGAAGACGATAATATCTCGCAAAATTATTTAACGCCACCTTAGAGAACGTCATGCGAGCATTGGAATGGGACAACATGGGAGCGAAAATCTGTGGTCGATAATTACACCATCTTCGCTTTACCGGTGACAACGTTCTTATAACACCAAGCAATAGCCAAGAGGAACAAATGCTTGCCGACTTTAATAACACCTGTGAAGAGATTGGTCTTCGACTAAATTTTACAAAAACGATGTTCATTAGGAACGGTTTGGCCCTGTTCACGATCAACGGAATGAATATCTCGGGCTGCTCGAGCTACGTCTATCTAGGTCGGGAAATCAAGATGGTGAATGACTTTGCTGCAGAGTTGAGCGAAAGGAAACGAGCGGCTTGGAGAGTTTCAAGAGCACTGAGGATGTAGTGAAGAGAACAAAGAACACTCGGCTCCGTGCCCACCTTTCCGTCTCCACGATTCTTCCTACGCTTAGGCTTGCATCAAAAACTTGGTCGCTGGGTAAGCAGGATGAAAGGTCACTCGGCGTTATAGAACACACAGTTGAAAGCACGATGGTAAGAGTGTTCCGTATCGGGGACGAAATGTCGGTGGCGTAGAATTTGCCGTCCACCCTGTCCATTGTCCATCTAGTCGACTCCTACGAGTTGCTTTTCCCTCGTATGCCGTTCTCCGTCTTCAACTAACGCGTTATGAGAAGATTAGTCTCATCAATTACCACTCACCAGCTAATTAGGAAGCGTTTTTGGACGTCCAACGACGGCGAACACAGGATCAAAAAATTTACGATCAAATGGAAGAAGCCAGAATGGATACTGTGTTGCAGAACTCCTGTCTGCAGCATGTCTCTTCCATGGAAACTCGTTTTTTCCTGAAGAAAGACAGTCGTCGCTGGTCACGGCAGTCTTCTAACGGCATGTCTCATCCGGAGATCGGTCATATTCGTACAGACGATATCGCCTACCTGACATATCGGTAGTCCCGTCATTTTGTACTGGGTCTGATCACCGTCTTTCTGGTGCGAAGATTCGATTCAGCCGCAAGCTTGGAAAGAGTTCATGTCATCAACCATGAAAAAAGTTCTAGCTGTATATCACGAAAATATTCTGGACGAAATTCTATCCAAGTGTGAGTAGCAGTTTAAGAACGACTCGATCGAACACTATGAGCTGGACTTAAAAGTTGCGCAGAATTTGCCTCAGCGCGCGGAAGAAGATCAGATCGCATCACCATTCCTTTAAAGAGCTGCTCGAGAAGAGAAGGAAACTAGAGCTTGGTCATCGATAACAGAACGTAGATGGACTGGTCATATAACGAAAAGAGCAGAAGGGAGTTAGACGAAAAGAACTGTACAATGGACTTTACGAGGATATATGCGTCTCTGAGGACGACCACCTCTGCGCAGCCGTGTTTTTAACTAAAGTCAAATAGCCTCAGTTGTGAGAACGCGATGTGAGATTAGCACCCACCGCAATGCTCCAATAAATCACACTGTGGACGACGATTGGGAGGCAAAGAAATGAGTGGAAAATGTGCTGGTGTTCTCCAGGTCGTTACTTTTTATGAAAAATTGTTTGTATGACTTGAACACACCTTAAGTTTGTTCCATGTCGACTGCCTTTCTTCATCTCTTACACATCGACTCAGTCTGCTGAATGTTTCATACACTGACTCAGAATACAGTAACAACCAGTCGCTTTCCTTCCTAGAAAGTTAATAAGTTAATAGTTCTAGCATGGAATAATTTTTCTATGTCGAAAGAAATTACTACCAATACATATTTTCTAAAGGAACAAATAAACTCACACCAATTTTAGGTTTTCCAAGATCCCAATGCAAACATCACACGCGTCCTTTTTATCCTCAAACGAGCAACTGCAAGAAAAAGTTACGCAAGAACACAACAGTCCTTCTGCTTTGTAGGATACAACGCATGATACTACACAAAATAATCATGGATCTCTTTCACTCAATGATTAACTGCTGCTTATTTACATAGTTACTTGAATGTCACGTTTTCAGGAAAACTCGTGCTGACTCAGTGGAATCTCCATTCGACTTCTTAGTTATGAGAGTATAAATCGGATTTCCTGTACAGAACAAATGTATAAATCCACTATGAGCTACGATTTCCAGTGCAGTAAAGATTCTTTTATTGGGATATTTCCTTGAGTACGCAGTGTCTGTCGCAGTGTAGTACTTTGTCCTCGATTCATATTTATAGTGAGTAAGTACTTAAATCTATGCATCCATTTAAAATTGTAATTATCTGACTATGTCTTAGCTATCGGATTATGACTGGTCTTGGTCAGATTGATTCTTGACGAAATCTCACAGTTTCACGGGTGGAAGATACACGATGATTCGGCTTCTTTTGAAATCAAGTTGTGACCGAAGCAAACACAATTTTCGTAATCAAACAATCACTTTTATGACTAGTAACAAAAAAATCTCGCGATTGCTGCTTTGAAAAAGCTCTGAATAAAGCGGAGTCATAAAAAACAAACCCAGAATCTCTATTAGAACTGCTGAGGAGAAATAAATTCTATGATCAAACAGATAGCAATCTACTTCTTTTGCAGATACACTCTAACATCGAGAACATCCGCTCGATGAGGTATCTGGCGAAACGCGTGAATCTATGTCAATATGAAATGGCGCTGATAAAACCTTTACTCTTGCTACATAAAGTCTCAAATAAGAGAAAATCATGTATACTTTTTCTCTAGGAAGTTAGAAACGTCATATTGGTTCAAAGATGAGGCTTGTATCCAAGTAATTAGTGCTCAGGGCGCTTGTGGCACAATGGTTGGAAGCTCCACTGCGACACACATGTGGAATTGACCTCCGCGCCCATAACTCACCAAGCCTTCCATTCCTCCAGGGTCGGCAAATCGGTACCATACTTGTCTGGGAGGATAGCAGCATTGGCTCGATACTTCAGTAAGCCACCGCGAGCCATTGTAAAGGCGAGATATGCATTCAGTCACCTCTAACGATACTTAATGAAGTCGAATGCATGGCGCATCCCTCAGGGATTGATCAACGCTGAGAGCTTTATCCTTTTTATCTTTTAATCTATGCTTAGTCTCTCAATGGCAGTTTTAACACATTTGCTTGGCTATCATATTTCTTAAATTGGTTGCTGTTCACGATTGCAGTCGAACACAGCAACTTTATACGAAGAGTTATTTTAGTTTCCTACCATAAAACTTTTTTTTTCAAAACCGACTGGATAATAGCAATTGTCCAGTGGTAACGACTTGTTTTTTTCCGAACAAACAGTTCTACAGAAGTCGGTGTCATTATTAGCTAGCATAGAGCATGACAATGCTTAAGCTAATGTCAAATAATATTTGCAATACATCACCAGTCGTTCAGTTTATTGTCGAGTGACTAGAGTGGGAGCCAGTAAATCTTCCACTTTTTCCTTTCGCATGTAAGAGCAGCTCTGATCACACTAGGGACTCGTTGAGTATCATACTTTTTTTCTAAGTTTTCGTAAAAAACTCTGACCATCGGATCGGTGGCCTTGCCTACTGAGGAATAGAATCACTAACAGTTTTTGTCCATCGGTTCTCGTTCAAACGCATTACGTGTATGACACAACTTATATTCGACACTTAGGGGAGAGCACCCCTGATTTTTGATCGTTGATGTAGGTCGGAGCTCCGGATCCCTTCCCTTACTTGTGTGAAACGGGACACTCCTAGCATCGTCCTTTCGGCTGTGCATTCAATAACGCTGAGTGACCTTTCATCCTGCTTACGCAGTTACCAGATTTCTGACGCATACCTTAGGGCAGGAAGTACCGTTGAGTCGAAAAGCTGGGTACGAAGTCGGGTGTTCTTTGTCCTCTTCACTACATCCTCTTTGCTCTTGAAAGCTCCCCAAGAAGCTCGTCTTCTTCTTCTCAACTCTGGAGCTAAGCCGTTGACTATGTTGATTTCCCGACCTAGATTTGCAATATATAGCAATAAATGTTGTTATGCTGCATAGTAGCTGATAGTGATTTCGACTTCTTTAAGATGGTTTATTTGGAAGAACCAACTCGTAATCACTGGACGGTAACTATTATTGACCACCACCGTCCTATATTGATGAGCATCGTCGGGTGAGTATTCCGTGCGAGAAATGCTCCACTGAAGAATGTCGGACTCGACACGAAGACGAAGATGCCACATCAAGAAGACGGGCATATGCGGACCATCGACTTGGATCACTGACTCTGAAGATGGCGAATACGCCGAAACAGTAGCCGAATAAAGATTGTTTATCAACTTCGTGTAAACTTATCAATGAAAGAATATATCGTCATTTCTTCTTCACGGATTGTTATTTCAAATGTTATTGCTATACGATAATTTTTGTTCAAACTGTTAATGATTACCATTTGGAGATGGTAATCTTTGCTGCCATCCGAAGAACAACTTCAGAATTGAATAAGTTCACTACTCAGCAGTGGTTAGTCATTTGCAATAGATTACAATGTTGAAAAGGTCGATAAATCGGTGACACACGACCTCACCGAAATTCATAAAAATCGCGATAAAGAAGTCTGCTATGGGCTTGTTTTTTGAGAAAAAATGTCCCATTTCTGGGTCATGTTCTGAAATGTGATGAGAATTATGTCTAATGTGAAATACGGCAGTATTTACCGCACTGATTGGATTGAGACGAAATTTGCATTCATCTCGCAAAGGTGGATTTGTATCGGAGTGTTATGTGGTCTGCATATGAAACAAATACATGTGATAAATAATAAAGCCCGCTAGCAAAGTGGTATTTTAAGCATCTCGACAAGTAGAGAGCTAGGAATGTCTTTAATAAGAAAACTCTGGTGGAAATTCTATTGAAGAACTCGCTGCTTCTACAACTTCATAAATCTGCACTACCAGAATAAGCAAAGTTGCACCCTAAGTTTGAGAAAGTGCGAAAATTATATCCTTTGCTTTGATCAGTAAAGTTGTATTTGGGTCAAGTTGTGCTATTTCAAAGCTTCCATGCAAAATCGGCAGTTATTTTTGTTAAAATTCAAAATGAAATAATTTGCCTGCATCGAAACAACAGAACCTCAAAAATCTCCATCATGTATTGCCAATTACGATGCCGTGTCTTCGACAAATTGTAACATCCCGCACAAAGAGGCATATTGAACTATGAAAACATCTTAGGATAAATATAACTGAATTTTCTTCTCGAGAATGACTGCTTTCTCTCCACGATCTATACCTCATGTATAATATTATCTTCGTAGTGCTAACATCATCGAAATGAAATGTGTCGCTCTAAAAATATTTTAGAAAATATGGTTCATCTCACCTCGTTAGTTTTTCTGTTATAACCACGTTGAGTGCATCCATTTCAGGAAGGCTGAGCTGCGTTTCTGCATCTGACGTGTATCTAAATACTGGTTGCGCTACACCACGACATTTTTTGGAAAGAATCTGTTTAAAATGTGTCAAAAAAATAAAGTATTTTGATTACATTATGTTGTAGTCTGCGTTTAAGTCCCCAAACACGCACCCATCTTTCTTGATGCCCTTTTGAGTTGCTTCTACACATTACTGCGTTGATGGCGATATGGGTCATATTTGACTCATTCTATTACCAGCTGTTCATTTCTTGAAAACATGTAGCACAAATGTCGTGGTATGTTTCCGCCGAGAACAGTTGCGCTATACACAAAATAATTTGCAAAAAACTGTTTTTCGGTTGAGATTGCACGTCTTAGCTGAATATCGCCGGGAAATACTGCAGAAATAGTTGTTGATGATAAGGCACAGATATAGAGTGCACTGATTTCGTCGAAGTTAATGGCGATTGAGCTGGTATTTACTCATACGAGGACTTACGTGAGGCACATATGACTCATCACGAGAACGGTCAGAAATTATTCGCTATTCTCACTTACCCGTTGCACAAAATTAGGTGTCGCTAACGTGTTTATATTAGGACTAGGTCGCATTTTTCTCCTGGTTAAGTTTGCAGAGAGTTCTCAGCTCAATCATTTTCCCCGTTTCGTGCGAACCGTGGAGAGAAATAACTCTGCTAAACCAAAATCTAGATTTTCCATTCGAAAAATGAGCCCTGAGAAAGAATTTTTTATTTATGCAAGTAGATTTCCTTGTTGGTCAAATGACTGAATTACCATCATAGATATGATGTTCGACGTGTCCCTAGAGCGAACCCACTGGGCTACTATTGCACGCGACAGGGAAAAATGGAAGATTTACTTGCGCCCGCTCGAGCCACTGGACGATCAACGGGACTACAGGTGATACAGGTGATAACATGTCAGCTGTCAGGGCGCGTGTGGCGCAGTGGTTGGAGGCTGCAGTGCGACACCCACGTGGAATTGATCTCCGCACCGATAGCTCACCAAGCTTTCCATCCCTCCGGGGTCGGCAAATTGGTACCAACCTTGTCTAGGAGGATAGCAGCACTGGCTCGATGCATCGGTGGGCCACAGCGAGTCACTGTAAAGGCCAGACATGAATTCAATCACCTCCAATGGTGATTAGTGAAGTCGAATGCATTGTGCATCCTCAATGGATTGATGAAAGTTGACAGCTTCATCCTGTATCCTTCGTAACATGTCAGCTATGGTTCTTCTGTTACTGAGGAGAGGAAAGCACAGTTGATGTACTATTGCATTTACGATGAAATGCAATCGTGTAGGATAGCCACACAATAAAAAAATACCTTTTGAAAATTTACAATATAAACAACAATTGGAGGTCTTATAAAATCTATTTATATCAACACCATGAAATGTCTTCGTAGCATCGACAGCCATTTTATAACCGTTTTGAACTGTGGTGTTTGTACAACACTCTCTACTCCATAACGTGCTCATTAGATGTTGACATTTTGAAATGTTCTCTCTTTTTGTTTCGATACAACCTCTTCAAAATATGCACAGACATTACGACAACTGTAAAAACTCAGAGAACTCTTATTCTCACGAATTTCAATGTACTGACGAGATCTATTGGTAACAGTCGCACCAATGTTAACTTTTTATTTATTGCCTATTATTGTTTTTCGGGGCAGGTTCTGATGTGAAATACAACCAGTATGGTTCTGAAATATTTGAAAAATCTGGACGCCAGCCCAGATCTAATCTGCGACTACCCTATGATGGAGCTCATGTGTTACCCACTGCACCACGGACGCCACTGATTTAAATTTATCTCAGCCAGTTTTCTATCTAATAATGCAATCACTAACCATCCATCAACGGAAATGATCTGGGAAGAACAAATTTGAGCTCAGCTAAGTTAAGTTTGCAGTCGAAATCACAGTGTGAACTATTGGATTAGTGGCTCTTATTATTTTCTTTTTTGGTGCTGATGATATCGCTAGCTTGAAAGCTGGCTGAGAGAAATGCAAATTAAGACCATCAATGGTGTAGTGGGTAACGAGTGAGTCCTTGGAGAAGGTAACCACAGGTTTGATTTGGTCTGGAATCGAAGTTTTGTAGAAATCTCAGCATCATAGTGGCTGCATTTCACTACATATCCTGCCTCTAAAAATGTTAATATGCAGTAAATAAAAGGGTAACATTGTGATTTGGACTACAGCCCTAGCTTAACTACGTTC